GGTTCTAGCGTTGTAAGTACCGCAGGTATACCGCTGTGCCACTAGGAGGCAATTCGCTTGAGATTGTTTGTTTGAAGTTAAGCACAAATCTACACAAAGGGCTATCTGTGCTCTGCCCACCACGGGTATCGAAACGGGTTTCTAGTAGTGTAAGTCCGCAGACATGCAGCTGTGCCACTTGGGGGGGGGGGCGTAGTTTTACGGAAAGATTGAGAAAACAGAAGAATAAGTGATATGTTTATATTTTTAACAACTAATTTTGACATTAAACTTTAAACAGATGCAAGGTAACACAAGGTGGTCGTGTTGCTGTGTAAGTAAATAATTCAAGATTTGTCTCGTATACCAAACTCAATAAATATTAGCCTTTGACCTCTTTTAGTTTCATACTTTTAACGTCTAGAGGAAATTCACTGGTACTGACGAGGCGTTTCGGAAGTCTTGGTGAGTAAAACAGTTGGTGTTCCGGAAGTCTTGGTGAGTAAAATAGTCGGTGTTTCGGAAGTCTTGGTGAATAAAATAGTCGATGTTCCGGAAGTCTTGGTGAGTAAAACAGTTGGTGTTCCGGAAGTCTTGGTGAGTAAAACAGTTGGTGTTCCGGAAGTCTTGGTGAGTAAAATAGTCGGTGTTCCGGAAGTCTTGGTGAGTAAAACAGTTGGTGTTCCGGAAGTCTTGGTGAGTAAAACAGTTGGTGTTCCGGAAGTCTTGGTGAGTAAAATAGTTGGTGTTTTGGAACAGATATTTTCAAACACCAGATCAATAAAGAAGCAAATCAAACAAAAGTACGGTTTCACAAAAAAAAGTCTCTCATTAGTGTCCAACCATCGAACTTTTTTGTTAAGTCATTGCCAGGAGGATTAGGGCGTTGCCTGTTATTCTGTTTTTCGTTCTTCTGTTGATAAATTAACACCGAATTCATTACACTTTGGTCGTGTTCAGAATAGTAAAAATAGTGGATTCGAACAAAAGCCAATGGATGCTGTTGTTGTTTTAGCATAAACCTACAAAACGGCTATCTACATTCCGTCTACCGGGGGGGGGGGGTCGAGCTCCGGAGTTCAGCGTCAGTCAATCTACAACTGACCGCCCGGGGGGGACCGTAATCAATATAACAAACGGCAGCAC